TTTGTCTCCCTGAGCATCTCGGAGGGTTTCATCCTCCATGTCATGAGCTTTCCAGGTCAGTCCTCACCCAGAAGGGACCATTCCCTTCTCCTCCGCCTGCTCTCATAACTCGGCTCTTCCCGTGTTTATATAAGAGCGACGTCTCCCGCAGACCGGGGAGAGAATTGGCTGGGGAGAAATAATGAGGATAATTCAAGTCATTTGGGAAGATGAGGTTTGTGAGGTGCCCAGCGTCTTCCACCTTTTACATGTTGTCTCTAATCATCCGCAATCTCGGATGGCCATTGATGGAGCTCGTTGCTGTGGCGACGGATGAATAGCCCTGGGATTGTACCATGCCAAAAAAGTGCTGTCCTTCCATCAAAACAACAACAACAACAAAAATATCATTTTGTTCAGGAAATTAAGCAGTTTGCAACCAAAGAGCAGCATCTGAAAGGGCTCCCGCGTCTCTTCTTGCCTCCTGGCTCCCACGATCACCGTGGGGTTGTCAGGAACATGCCCGGCGCTCCGGAGAGTCCTTTGTGTGCGCTGGCCAAGGAGAAGGTGGTAATTGCGAGGGGGTTTCTAACCCACTGAGCCTGTTAAAAGGATTTGGTACCCCCCTCCCCGCTCTCTTCTTCCCCAGATGTGTGTCACGCAGGCAGGCAGCACGGGTGCTGCGGCCAGGGGCTGGTGCAGCACTAGGTTAATGTGTTAGCGCTGCAGGGGTGGACGGGAGAGGGGAGCGGTGATGGGTGGCAGCCGGGCAGGGTGTTGGGGCTCAGGTCCTGCTCCTCCCCTGGGGAAGGGGCGATGCGTGGAGCTCCAGACAGGGAGCACCGGGCTCCTGCCATCCGCAGCCTCCCTGGTTTTCCATTAGCCAGGCTACATCTCCATTTGTCCCGTGCAGCACAGCCTGAGCCCAGGCACGCTCCTTCCTTCCCCGCTCCTCTAGGAGCATCTCCGGGGACAAGGCTGCAGGGCTGGGAGGGGGGATTTGGGGTCTGCTCAACCACAGCAACCTTTGCTCCAAGCCCCTGTGTCCAACCTGGCCTTGAGCACTGCCAGGGATGGGGCAGCCACAGCTTCTCTGGGCACCCTGTGCCAGCGCCTCAGCACCCTCACAGGGAAGAGCTTCTGCCTAAAAGCTCATTTCCATCTCCTCTCTGTCAGCTTCAAGCCATTCCCCTTGTGCTGTCAATGTCCCTCTTGTCCTGCCACTTGTCCCTGTTAAGAACTGATCCTGGATTTGGGTTTGCCTCTGGGGGTGGAAGCATCTGACCCCCTGATGCTGAGAACCACAAGCAACGCTCCTGCCGCATCCCAAGGCCCACACTGTGGGTATTGTCCGTGCGTTGCCACACTGGGCCATGGCACATTTTAAACTTGCTGGCATCTTGGATGGTCCCAAATGCCACCTGCCAGGAGCGATGTAAATGGTGTAACTCAGAGCTGTGTGACCCCGACCCTCACCCTGCCAGAGCACAAGAAACCAAACACCCTTAGGGCACGTGTCCAGCCAGCAGAATGGGAGAGCCTTGGGTGCAGCAGGGCTGGAGCCAGCCCCTGTGTTGGGGCAGTGAGAAGGAGCAGGGGGAAGAAGGGATGAAGACATAGAGAGAAGGCATCTTACAGAGGACCCTGAGGAGGAGAAATGGGTCAAGCTCTTGTGGTTCCAGCTCCAGTTTGGGTGAGGGTTTTGCTGACCATCCCCAGAGCCCTGCACCACCACAGGGCTCTACCAGAGCCAGATGGAGCCACATCTTGGCTGCAGCGGGCTGGGGAGATTAACTCCGCAGGGAAAACAAGCTCAGCAGACGCTGCTGAGCCGAGCCTGCCGGCGTGTCTGCGTCTGCATGCACATGCATGTGCTGCGAGCCTACATGGGCACGCATGTGCAGACATGAAGCCCTTGCGTGCGTGCAGATGTGTTTGGCCAAGCTGATGAAGCAGTGTCTCGTCTCAGGCGGGCGGGCAGGCTATTGGAAATGTGTCCTCATCCTTTAATTGTGCTGCTTTGATAGAAGTGATAATTGGGCAGAAATCAATGGTGTTTTGCTCCTGTTTCTCCCATCCTGTCTCACCCGGCCCTCCCCTCTCTGGATGCGTTGCTCCCTTTAGTGGAGTGACATTTAAAGGCTCCGCCATAATCGTTAGATAACCCAGGCAGAGAAGATGCTTCAGAGAGGGCTCATGCAGCCAGGCAGTGGGCAGAGGTGGAGGCAGCTCCTCTCTTCACTGTCATGGCTCAAGGGCGGATGGAGATGATGCTCCAGAGCATGTCCGTGTGCTGTGGCAGTGAGAGTGCGGCCGTTCCGGGGGAGAGGGGAGAGGGGAGCAGGGAAGGGACAAACTCCGGTTGTGTCAGCCAGGAGCAACCTCCCTGCTGCAGAGCATCACAGAACAACCTGTATTAATGATAGAAACCAGCCTGGGTTGGGGTGAAGGGACCTTAAAGCTCACCCAGCTCCAACCCCTGCCACAGGCAGGGACCCCTTCCACTGGAGCAGCTTGCTCCAAGCCCCTGTGTCCAACCCAGCCTTGGGGAACTGCATTGGCCAAGGGGGTTCCAGTTCCACAGGGGGACTCTGGGACCACGCAGGGATGCAGGGAGCAGAAGGTGTCCAGTCAGTGATGGACACATGGGGGTGACCGGATGCACGGTGATGGGCACACGGTGGGTGTCCAGTCAGTGATGGACACACAGGGGGTGACCGAATGCAAAGTGTTGGGCACACGGGGGGTGATTGGATGCATAGTGATGGGCACACAGGGGGTGACTGGATGCATGGTGATGGGCACACGGGGGGTGTCCAGTCAGTGATGGGCACACGGGGAAGGTGACCAGACGCATGGTGATGAGCACATGAGGGTGTCTGGTTAGTGATGGGCACAAGGGTGGTGTCTGGATGCACGGTGATGGGCACACGGGGTGTGTTCGGTCAGTGATAGACACACGGGGGTGACCGGATGCATGGTGATGGGCACACACGTAGTGTTCAGTCAGTGATGGACACACAGGGGGTGACTGGATGCACAGTGATGGGCACACGGGGGGTGTCCGGTCAGTGATGGGCACAAGGGATATGACAGAACGCACGGCAATGGGCACACGGGGTGTCAGTGATGGGCACACAGGGGGTGACCGGACGCACGGTGATGGGCACACGGGGGGTCAGTGATGGGCACACGGGGGGGTGACCGGACGCACGGTGATGGGCTGGCGGCCACGTTGTTGTGTGAGAGCGGCGCCACCTGGCGGTCACACGGCCGTGTCCTCCAGGCATGGGGATGGTGGGAGAACATCGAAGAGGATCCAGGGCTTGGCGGTGGCTTCCAGGGCTTTTGCTCCCGGCTGCTTCCCGAGCCGCAGCACAGCCGGGCAATGGGGGCTCTGCCTGCTGCGGGCTGTGCTGGGCACCCCACGGTCAGGAGCTCAATCAGCCTTGTGGCAGGCTGGGGCACAACAGCACCCACGGTTAAAACCCCAGCGACACCCAGGGCTTGGTGGAGAGCGGCAGCAACGGTTTCCAGCAGGGAATTCCTTCCAGCTGGAGACACCAGAGCATCACAGAAGCATGGAATGGTTTGGGTTGAAGGGACCTTAAAGCTCATCCAATTCTAACCCCTATGATCTAACCTTAATCTGTCCCCTTTCAGTGCATCACAGCAGAAATGCCCGAGGGGCAGTGCTGCCTGCCAGGTCCCCCCCCCACCATAGACAGGGTACAGGGTCCTAGACTCAAGAGCTGGGCATAGGCATCCCCAGTCCCCCTCCTACCACCTGTGTAGAGCTGGCTGCATCCTGCCCCTATAGCTGGGGAGGGCAAAGAGCATTGCCCACCCCGTCCTCCACAGATGGGGACATCCCCAGTCCCTTACCCTAAAGCTGGGGCCCAGCCCCTCTCAGCCCCTATAGCTGGGGAGGAAGAGCCCTGCTCCCTCCCTTACAGTCAAGGAATGTCCCAGCTCCTGTAGCCCAGGGTAGCGGGGTCTCGCCCCCCTTCCTACAGCCTGGGTCTGACGGCGTCCCAGTACCTACAGCGGGGGCTGCGGATCCCCTCTCTGTAGCGGAGCCTGGCTGTGTCCCACCGCCCTCTCCCCTATAGCGGGGCACAGCCATGCCCCAGCCCTACAGCCGGGAGCTCACAGCCCCACCGCTGCCCCACGGCCCGGCCCCCCCGGCCCGCCTGCAGGCGCCAGCCCCGTCCCGGCCCCCCCTGTCCCGCCCGGGCCGGGCCCTCCCCGGGGGAGGGCGCTCGGGGGCCGCGGTCCCACGGCCGCGCCGCCATGTTTCCCGGCAGCCCGCCCTGCCCGCCGCCCGCCTGAGCCTCCCGGCGGCCGCCCCGGCCCGGCACGGCCCGGCCCGGCGGCCGCCCGCCTCCGCCGCCGGTGAGTGGGGCCCGGTGCGGCCCAGCTGTTGGGGCCGGCCCGGTGCGGTCCGGCTCGGCCCTGCCCGATCCGACCCGACCCAACCCTCCGCCGCGCAGGCCGCAAAGCCTCGGCCTCAATTTCCGCCGCGGGCGGGGAGCGGAGCGCGGAGCCCGGCCGCGGAGGGTGGAGGCGGGGTGGGCACGGAGAGATGCAGCCGGGGTAACAGCGGCCTCCGAGCGGACACCGCGGCCGGGGGTGGGCGGGTGGCGGCGGCTTTCCCTGCCCGCGGGGCGGGTGCACCCGGCCCGGCCTGGCCGGGGTCTTGGGGCGGCGGCGGAGCAGCGGGGCCGGTTCGGCTTTCCCCGCGGTTCATCGCAGCCGGGGTTGCGGTCGGGCCCTGTGCTCCCCGGCTCCCGCTGCGGCCGCCTCCGGGCTAGCGGCTCAGGGGGAGCTGGACTCGCCCGCAGCCGTCGCTTTCTTTCTCCTTCCAGGGACGCTCAGCATCAGAAGCAGCTGAAGCCTGGCCCGTGTGTGGCAGGAGGAACCTTCCCTTTACCGCCGTGGGGATTCAGCCTGCCCGGTCCGGCCCAGAGGAGGCTCTCGTGGCGGCCGGTGCCGAAGCAGAGGTCGGTGTGGGCCGGGAAGGGCTCCTGGGCTGGTAATGGGAGCACTGGCCTGAGCTCTGCCAGCGGAGCCCCCAGTGCGGAGCGGAGATTCATATCACCAAGCTGAGGACAAGGAGGAACAACCCAGAACTGATCGGCATCCACCCCACAGCAGTGCTCCTGGGAGGGTAATTCTTTCGTGTTGCTGTTGTTTTATTCCTTTGGTGCAGCAAGTTTTGTAGGAGTGTGAAAGGAAGCAGCAGGGTGAGCTGTGAAGTGATGGGTACGTGGTGCATCCCACAAAGGGGATCGCTGTTGCTCCCAAGCTGGAGCCACCTACACCGGCCATGGTCCTGTGGTTGTCCTCTCCCCTTGTCCTCTGTTGAAGCTGGGCCAGCCACAGCCACGCTGATGGCACAGGTTTGGTGTTTGCTGCTGCTGGGTGTTATCACTTATGGTTCTCATTTGAAGGGGTGCAGTGCCATATAAATGCTACATCATGTGTGGCTGGAAGGGGCCCGTTCCTGGGTTTGGAGAGGACTGCATGCGATCCAGAGAGACATTATTAAGCTTGATTTTAAAAGTAGGTTTCACTGTGTCTGCTGCTTCCCCTGAGAAGCTGTTCCAGAGCCACATCTCACTGCTGGGGAGAAACCTTATCCTTCTTTTCAGCCTGACTGCGCTAACATTCCCCTTATCCGCCAGCATATGTCAGGAAGCACACGAGGATGTCAGAACAGGGAGGCAGTGGGCTTGTTTTGCAGCGCTTACATCATCTTCCTGAGAACTAATAAACTAAAGCAGGCTTGAAATGAAAACAGACACCACAGAGTGCAAAATGGAACTAAGGGGGCCGGTGGGGTGGCCCTCCTTGTTTTGGTGTTTGCAGGGGTCGTTAGTCGTGCTATGGGGGCTCTTCTTGAGTCCTGGGAGCCAGTTCCTGCTGGCTTTTTGGAGTGGCTCAAGGCCCCAGGACCCAAATCCTGTGGCTGCTTTTGAGCTGGGGGTATCCTGTTTCAGGGGGCTTGGGTTGCGTTGTGCACACACAGGAACTGGGCTCCCTTTGTGCTCCTTCCTGATCAGCTGCAGCGTACAATGCCCAAGCGCTCCGGCCCTAACAGCTGTCTCATTTGTGTTCCTGTTCGTAGCTCAGCACCTCGGAGCATCCAGGATGGCTCAGGAGACAAACCAGACGCAGGTGCCTCTGCTGTGTACCACCGGCTGCGGATTCTATGGCAGCCCCCGGACCAACGGGATGTGCTCCGTTTGCTATAAGGAGTTTCTCCAGAGACAGCAGAGCAGTGACCGGATAAGCCCCCCAGGTAGAGGATTTTTGGCTGAGAAACCTGTCTTAAATGGGTGCAGACAGTGCCAAGGAAGTGGTGCTGGTGCTGGCCACTGGCAGATTTGCTCCTAGAAAACTCATGTCTTGCCCTTTTTGTGCAGACCCAAGCTCCTAAATCAAAGACCCGAGCCTTTGAGCGCTTCTGTTCTCTGTAAGGGGATCATTTGTTTCCTTCCCAGTCCCAGCTGTCTGTGAAGCTCCATCCCAGTCAGCACCTTGAGTAAACTTCATTGTGCTAACAGTGATTTTTAGGTACTTCCTGCTCCCTGAGTCACACACTGACTGCTGGGAACCACGGCAGATCCCTGGAAGGAAACTTTATTTGAGACCTTTGTATTAATTCTCTTTCCTCAGGAGAGCTGACAATCAAAAGCTTTGTTTCTGGCAGCTAAACGTAGCTCACATATCACCTGGGAGGCAGCTAGGTGCACAGAAAGAATGCACTTGCCATCATTAGCAGGATCTTCTTTGGCTGAGAGTCTGTGCAGACGCCCCATGTACAGATTTTGCCATGACAGTGAGAAACCCCTTCTGGAGATCTTCCAGTTTTGTTCCTAACTGTGATAATGGCTTTTCCTGAATGACCCACCCAAAATATATGTTAGGAACACAGCTCTTATGGCAAAGAGCTTTCAAAAGACCCTGACTTAGATCCCTGGCTGACATAAATGAACATGCTTCTGTTGAAGCCAGCTCCTCTCAGCAGATGAGGATCTGGTTCTTGTACCTTGGAGAAGTTGCAAAGTCACGCTAGGTTCCAGGTATGTTGGGAGCTGCAGCACTTTCATTTCTACTGACAGGATATACTGATTTATACTGACATTTATAGTGATTTGTGCTGATGCAGCGTTTGATTTGCAATGCAGAGAAGAAGGGGAATAAAAGAATGCTGGAGGTGTCATGGGTGGCTGAAGTCAGGTTGTACCAGATATTAGCAACTATGCAGTAATAGAAGGCATTCGGCACACCTTATCAACTCCTGTGATAAACCCTCATCCTTCAAAAGGGAGCTCATAGATCCTGAGGAGTCACACAGATCTCCATAAACAAGACCTGCAGTGCTTTGCTAGGATAACTCATTCCTGATCTAACATAAGAGTAGCTAGCTGCACTAGTTTATGGGGAGGTCTATCTAGCCTTGATGTGTTATCCGCATAGAAACCTATGCACAGATTTGGGAGGTGGAAAGCCTGCTGAAAGCCCTCATCCTGCTTTCTCCTTGGCTGTCCAGCACCCGAGGAACTTGCTGACATTTTCAGAGTTCACCAAGACTGTTGTCTTGTCTTGTAGCATCCAGTGGTCCCAACAGCAGCCCCGTGGCTTCGGATTCAATTGCAGGGCAGCATGTGGAGGGAGACTCCAGCCCTGAGGATGCAAAAGCCAGGTAAGGGCACAGTCTGGGGGTTAGATCTACAGACATGCTAAAGCCAGCTCTGGGACACAAGGGGTAGGTTCTCAGTATGGCCACGGGGATCAGTGAGGCAGGCTGAATCAAGCACTGTTGTGACCTTGGTTTATCTGGAAGATTGGTATATCCTTCATGATCATAGAATCCCAGACTGGTTTGGGTTAGAAGGGACCTTAAAGCTTATTCAGCTCCAACTCCTGCCACGGGCAGGGACCCCTTCCACTGGAGCAGCTTGCTCCAAGCCCCTGTGTCCAACCTGGCCTTGAGCACTGCCAGGGATGGGGCAGCCACAGCTTCTCTGGGCATCCTGTGCCAGCGCCTCAGCACCCTCACAGGGAAGAGCTTCTGCCTAAGAGCTCAGCTCAGTCTCCCCTCAGGCAGGTTCAAGCCATTCCCCTTGCCCTGTCCCTACAAGCCCTTGTCCCAAGCCCCTCTCCAGGTTTTCTGGAGCCCTTTAGGCACTGGAGCTGCTCTAAGGTCTCCCCTTCAGGAGCCTTCTCTTCTGCAGGCTGAACAAACCCAGCTCGTTCAGCCTGGCTCCATAGGAATGCATAGAGAATGCATAGTCAGGTTCCAAAGGGTCGGAAGTGGCATCCTGGTTCTCTTGGAAGCAGTGCACATTGTCACTAGCTGTGTTAAACTGTTCCATTTTAAACTAGTCCTAAGTGAAAGGACCTGGTGATGATCCAGTCTGGAAGCTGCGACAGCAGGATTAGGGTCACAGCTGATAGGAAGGAAGATAGTACTGCATTAAGCTCTACCATTGCAGTCCTGACTCATAACTGTTTCCCTGTCCTTGGACTTGTTTGGATGGGCTGTTGCCTTGGCTTTGAGATATAGTTGGGTGGAAGAGGAAACTGAGATCATCACAGACTCATTCAATTTCATATTTTGTTTGATATATGAAGAACTTTGATCCCAGATCTCAAGGGGAATTTGCCTGCTGTGCTCCTGAGCTACATCTGAGTATAATGAAATTAACTTCATGGGTTGAAGGGATCTCCCACATAACTGCCCATCAAAAGGAAATAGTTGTATTTGTTCTGTGGTTTATTTGGTTGTTGCAAATTCTCCCAGTGCTCAGACTCCGGTGACCCATCAGATGACGGCCATGAGCATATCCAGAGAAGAAAACAGCAGTGAGACAGAAGAACTCATCAAGACAGAAGAAGCCTCATCAGCATCTTCCTCATCAGGTAGACTGATTGGTTTGGCCTTTGCACCAGTTTGAATGACACTGATCTCACAAGTTGGTTTGCGCAGCAAGTACAATACTGGCCACTAACTCCAGGAGAGGGTTGTTACCTAAAGGTGCCCTTTGCAGGAGAGCTGAGGAGAGAGCTGTTTCTGAGGCAGGAAGGAGAGAAAATGCTGTGCCTGAGGGCAGGCCGATAGAGATTGCTCTGTGGGCTGAGGGCTAAGTAGCTGCCAGCCCTCGACTCTGGCAGGAGGATAATCTTCCATGACGCCTATCCTAGTGAATGGCAGAAAGCCCGGAGCAGCCCACAGCCTGCTGCACGGCTGTTGTTGGCTGCAGTTCCTGCCATCTCGAGGGAGGGAAGGAGATGGATCCAGCAGAGTCTTGGGAGAGAGGAGATGTGCTTGTGGCAGCGCAGTTGTCACCCTGTGTGCTGGGAGGCATCCCTGCCCCTCAGAGGGGAGTGTGAACCTTGTTGCTTTGTTTGCCAAGTGGGTACCTTGAAGTGCTAGAGGAGCTGGGGTGTCATTACCCAGCAGGGTACATCCTCCACTTGATGAGTTACAGGGTGAGCCATTGTGTTGCAGCGGAGCCGTAACCAAGTGACACTGCATTGGAGACACCTTCCTTTAGTTCAGCTGACAGCTTGCTAGCATTGAAGGCTAAAAAAAGACCGCAGGAGTTTTTTGGTTGCTAAAAAACCCCCAGGCTCTAGTCACTGCATATGACTGTGCAGTTTGGATTTGGCACTCCCTTCTCTGCAAGCCCACAGGACAATTTACAGCAGGAGGGTGAGAGACTATTTGACAAAAGAGGCTTGGAAGACCTGCCCCTTTCTTCTGATTGTGTGATGCTTAGAAAGTTGCTTAGGGTCAGATCCACAAAGCGCTCCCTGACTCTGTCTCCTTAGCCTGTTGTTGAGAGCAGCCTGCGCTGCAGGTGTGTATCTGCTAACAGTTGGAGCTCCTCCCTCCTGTTGACTTCTCTAACCTGCTTAGGTACTGTAGGAAATCCTGCTAAGCATCAGTGACCTTTAACAATCTGGCTTTCAGAGCTCAGTTTTCCTTTTGGTAGATTAGAGGCAGCGATGAGTATCTGTGTAAAGCATTCAGAGACCTACATATGAGGAACACTTACATAAGAGTCAGCCAAAATAATTAGTAGTACTTACAAGGGGTTAACTTTTTTTTTCCCCCTGCAAAGATTAACTCTAGGCTCAGCTGTGTGGTTGATTACTGTACATCAGCTAAGCTGTAGTGACTGTCCAGACGCTATGGCAAGCATAAGGTAATTCTACTTTCCTTTTGTCAGCCAGAGTTAAACAGCATTGTGTTACTGTATGTATGCTGTAGCTAAACCATAATATTTTCTTGGTGTTTCTGAGCCTTGGAATTAAGGGATTTGAAACAGAGGGAAAACATGAGGTTGTGTGGGGTGTAGATCTTGACGGAACAAGGCAAATCTGTAATAGAATGAATGGGTTGCTTGGTTTATCAAGCAGGGTAATACAACTCTGGCCTCTGTTTCAGGTACCCTGCTTGAAACACCCCAGAACACAGCTGAGGGTAAAGCAGCCTCAGAAAAACCCAAACAGAAGAAGAATCGCTGCTTCACCTGCCGCAAGAAGATAGGGCTGACTGGTAAGACCCTGGCTGTGGGAGAACTTGCCTGTGGCCCAGGTAGCCTGGGTTCATAGTCCTGCAGACAGAACTGCCCCTGCTCTGGTGCTGCCTGGGTTCAGAGCAGCAGTGTGGGTCATGCATGGAGGTACCCCTCCTGAAAGTACTTCACATCCACAAGACATGGTGCTGCAAGGGAGAGGGAGGGAAACTCCAACCTGTGGACAGGACAGTGCTGTCTGAGGCAGTAGCCTGTGGAATCTGTTGCTCCCTGCCAGGCCTTGGATGCAGGGTTGTGGAACTGGATGGAACTGCTTGGAAAAGCTGCTCCTAGCTCGCTGTGCATCTAATTCTGATCCCATAGGCAAAGGCAGCACTCACTGTGTATTCTATCAGAAGCAGAGGCAGTGCTCGCTGTAAATCCAGTTCTCTCCTAGAAGCAAAGGCAGTGCTCACTGTAGATCCAGTTCTGTTCCTCTTCAAGTCAGTGGGAAAGTTTTCGTAATAGTAACAGGAACTGAGTTAGACCCAACCTGAAAATCTCACTCCAAAACTCATCCCATTTGTGAACGCACTGTTAGGTTCCTGAGAGCAGGATGGCTCTTGGCGTTCAGCCTGGAAAGCTGAAAGGAAAGGTGCTGAGATGGCGTCAGGTGACTGATATCAATAGGAAAACTGCCCCTGGAAAGTGAAGCAATTAACTTGGCTGTGCTTTCTTAATAAAACCATTGTTCCTCTAAATTGACCCTGGCATTCAGTGTTTCCCTGGAAAAGGGGAACCCCAGAGCTGTGCAGCCATGCTGTTCAGTGGAGCACTCACCTCTCCTGCTGTGTTCAGCAGCCAGGGACTGCAAATGTGCTTTGGTCCTGTTGGTGGAAGCTGAGTCTGGCCTGGGAGGTTTGCCCAGGGCCTGGGCTGGGGATCCCAAGCTTGCCTGGAGCTTGGAGGACCCTGTCCTAGACCAAACGTGGGTTTCCAAGCCTGGAACTGGGCAGGGTGCTCTGCCTTCAGCTGCGCAGGGAGGATTGTTTTCCTGGATTAGTGTTTCCTTAAGAGCTTCAAACATGAGAAGTTTCCTCTCCTTTAGGATTCAACTTGCAGAGAACTCCTTGTGAATTCAGGGCATTCAGGATAAAATGGCTTTTCTCAGATAGGAGTAAACTGGCACCTCGTAGCAAGGTGTTTGTGGTGTTTACAGCCTGCAGATGGGAAGGTGATGCTCTCTGCCTCAGTTTCCTGGTGTGCTGTGGTAACAGCAGCATCTCTGCACAGCCTTGTCTGCAAGTGAAGTGATTAAAGTATGAATTTTGAAGCCTAAATAGCTTAAAAGTGATCCTAATGACGTGAAGGGTTTTGCTGCTTGCTGGCTTACTGCTGCTCAGCTCAGATGCTGCTGCGTGATGCCTGGGGGAGTGAGCCTGGCTCGGGGGCCTCGGCTCCAGCTTGGGCTGCCTGGGGGGCTGGATCAGCAGTCTGGCACTGTGCACTCCTTGGCATGTCCCTTGTCCCTGGGGAAGCAGGGAGAGCAGCTGCTGTGGGAGCATTGCCCCTGCTGTGACAGCTGGGGCTGACCAGAGGGGAGCTGCTAAGCCAGAGGAAAGCAAAGAGCCACTCGTGGTCATCCCCCACACCCAGACCCTTCGAGCAGCTGGGGACAGCGGCTCCCTCCCTCGTCTGTCTCTCTTTGTGCATTAGGGGGGCTTCCTGGCCTGGCAGGGGAGAGTGGGGGCCCTGCTGCCTGCCTGTGTGGCTGGATGCGGGCTCAGTGGCTTTGTCTCTCTGCTCTTCCTCCCTTCAGGCTTCGACTGCCGCTGCGGGAACCTGTTCTGTGCCATCCACCGGTACTCCGACATGCACGCCTGCCCCTATGACTACAAGGCAGAAGCTGCTGAGAAGATCCGTAAGGAGAACCCCATTGTGATCGCTGAGAAGATCCAGAAGTTGTGAAAGGGGCTGAGCAGCTCGAACTGCAGCCAGGTGGCCTGGTGCTCCTCCCCTTCCTCCCAGCCTTCCTCCTCTTCCTCCCAGCGCCATCCGTGGTGTGATGGGGACTCGAGCAGCACACACGAACCAGCACCCAGACATGGGGATTCCTCGCACCTCCTTGCAGCCAGTTAGTGTTCCTCCTGTCCCTTCCTGCCCATCCGACAGCCGCAGCTCAGCTGATCTGCTCCCAGCCAGCTTCCCAAAGGAAAAGGGACTGTCCTGCCCCGCCACTCCAGCGCTAAGACCTTCGGACTTGTCTTCACCGGGGCGGTTTGTGCATGTGGCAGCCAGGCTCTGCCTTTCCCTTCAGCCAGCAGCTCCGAGGCCCGTGAACCTCCCAGGACTCGCAGCCGGAGCCCATGAGCAGCTTCTGGACTTTTCCTTTTGCCCCAGGGTCTTTTTTGGCGGGTGTGGAAGTGGGAGCTGGGGAACGCCAGCAGCGGGGCTGCCTTCTGCTCCCCGAGAGGTGTTTGGTCTCAGATGCACAAAAGATGATTCTGTAGTTTTAATGCTCTAAGTACCCCTCCCCTCCCTTTGCGACACTGTTGTGGCAGCACCGAGGTGGTTAAGCAGCAGAATACTGGCACAGTAAAGTTATTTTGTGGCTTGAAGTGATGTAGATGCACTCGTGGCGCAGGTCAGGACCTCTAGGGAAGCGCTGCTCGCTCCCCTGTGTCTCTGCAGCAGGGAGGGAGCCTTCCAGGCTCCAGGGCCATGGCTGGGCTGCAGGATACACTTGCCCCAGCCTCCTGTGCTTCAACACCCCCTGAGTAGCCACCAGCCACTTCCCAGGCGAGGTTTGTTGTCACCTCTCCTCTCCCCTCTGCTCCCTGCCTTCTCCCCTTCCTTTCTGCTCGGGGTTGTGCACAAAGCTCAGATCACCAAACCTCTGCTTCCCTCCCTGTCCCTGTGTCCCTTCCTCCCCCGTGGGCTCTGCTGGTAACTGAGAGCCTTTCTCCCTGATGAGTGCATTGGCTGGGGAAACCCCCCCAGCTGCACTGCTCTCGCCTGGCTGCATGTCCCCATGGGGTGAGAGGCAGGGGCCAGATCCGCAGGAGGATGCTCTGAAAGCTGGACAGAGGGATTTGGGGCACAGGGAAAGGCATGTGGAGGGCTGCAGGGCATGTGGGGAGTCACACCGAGGGGCTTTGGGTGCCCAGAAGCACAGGCTGGTTTTCCTGAAAGCCATTTCAGGAAAGCCCATGGGGAGCCCTGGGGAGCAGGGAGAGTCCCTTGGGGGGTCTGGATGCACTTGAGGCTCATGCTTGGGGTGCAGGAAGACTCAGGGAGGGCTCTGAGGTGCATGGGAAGGCAAAAGGAGAGCTTTGAGGTCCAGTGGACGTGCTCAGAGGACTTCAGTACCTCAAAAGGCACAGAGTGAGTAGCACTCAAGTAAAACACAGAGAGCTCTGGGCTCTTGAAAAGGGAACCATGGGGCTCAGGTACACAGCACAAAGCAGGCAGTGGCTCTTGGGGCGCATCAAAAGCCACCTTCAGGTCATGCAAGGTCTGCACCACCCTGGGAGGCTCTTCCAGAGGAACAGAGGAGTGGAGCTGAGGCCACAGAGCTCTCAGCAGAGAAATCTGATGGTTCCTAGGGGAAAAGCAGCAACTTCTGCCCTGCTCTTTGGAAGTGTTTCCCTTGGCATCAGCTCATGCAAGGGTGTCAGAGCAGAGCTGCAGAGGCAGAACCAGCAGCTGGGGGAGCCATGGCAACTCCTTCCCTGTGCTGCTTTCCTCCTGGGGATTCTGCCCTGGTGGGTGTATGGTTCCCAAGATTCCCTTGTCCCCATTTGGTTTCTGCAGCAGCCGCTGTCAAACGGCTTCACTGGGAGGATTGAGAGCTCTCGGGATGATGCAAGTCCCTGGCAGCGCGGGTGGAGGCTGCCTCTCCCCAGCCTCTTCCTCATGGCTTTGCCTTTGGGTTAACGCTGGCGTCACGTCTGGAGCACGCGAGCGGCGGCACGTTGTGGGGTGAGGATGCTCCCGGTGCCAGCCTGAGCCTGGGGAACGAGGCATGGCTCTGGAGGAGGTGGAAGTGCACCCATCCTTCCCATTGCATCCCACAAGGGTTGTGAGCCCTGCAGAGGGGAAGCAGCTCCTGTGGATAGAAGCACAGAATCAATCGGGTTGGAAAAGACCTTTAAGCTGCTCCAGTCCAACCCAGCCTTGCCAAGGCCACCCCTAACCCATGGCACTGAGGCCTCGTCCCCACGCTGTGTGAACACTTGCAGGGCCGGTGCCTGCAGCCCTGCCCTGGGCAGCCTGTTCCAATGCCTGAGCACCCTCTGGGGCAGGAGTTGTTCCTCAGCTCCAGCCTAAGATGCAACAGGAAAGCCCATGTGGTAAAAAGCAGCCACCTGCTTCTCTACCACCCACCTCTTGGTTTTGTCCCCTTCCTCCTGTAAGTGTAAATATTAATACAGTCTAGTTTGCTTGGATGCTGTGGGTGATCTGTTATGAATATAGATTTGTCCCATGCTGGTGCTGGATCAGCCCTGGATTCTTCTAGAGTGGCTGTGGGGCTCTGTGCCTCAGTTTCCCCATGGATAATCATAATCATGGAAGGGTTTGGGTTGGAAGGGACCTTAAAGCCCATCCAGCTCCAACCCCTGCCACAGGCAGGGACCCTTTCCACTGGAGCAGCTTGCTCCAAGCCCCTGTGTCCAACCTGGCCTTGAGCACTGCCAGGGATGGGGCAGCCACAGCTTCTCTGGGCACCCTGTGCCAGCGCCTCAGCACCCTCACAGGGAAGAGCTTCTGCCTTACATCCAACCTGAACCTCCCCTGTTTCAGTCTGAACCCATCACCCCTTGTCCTGTCACTGCAGTCCCTGATGCAGAGCCCCTCTCCAGCATCCTTGCAGCCCCCTTCAGACAATGAAAGCTGCTCTGAGGTCTCCACGCAGCTTCTCCTCTCCAGGCTGAACAGCCCCAATGTTCCCAGCCTGGCTCCATGCAGGAGCTGCTCCAGCCCCTGAGCATCCTCATGGCCTCCTCTGCACTTGATCCGACAGCTCCATGTCCTTGTGCTGAGGACCCCAGCACTGCACACTGTGCTGCAAGCGGGGTCTCAGGAGAGCAGAGCAGAGGGGCAGGATCCCCTCCTTAGACCTGCTGCTTACGCTCTGGGGATGCCCCGCAGCAAACAGAGGGATTCTGTGCTGATGCAGTAACTGTGCCCGGTGCTGGCAGGGGACAGGAGTGCCCCGAGTGCACATACACAGCTGTGTCTTGGGGCTCTGTGCAGCTCCCCGAGGCCCTGAAGGGCCAAACTCTCCCTCGGTCCCCGCTGGTTGCTCCTGTGTCGGCCCGCGCTGGCGGGGTTGGAGCGGGACCCCCGGTGCTGGTGGCCATGGGCTCGGGACCTGAGCTCCGCCAGGCTGCTAGGCCTGGGCCTAAACCAGCACCTCCGGCTCGTGTCCACGCTGGCATCGGTTGGGGTTGGGGAAGGGGAAGGGGAAGGGGAAGGGGAAGGGGAAGGGTCCGGACCGGCCCCGCTCCGCCCCTGCCGCCATGAAGGGCCGAAGACCCCGAGGCAGCCGCGCTGTAACCCTGGCAACGAGGGGGGAATGGCGTCACTTCCGGGAGAGGAGGGGCGGGGCCAGCGGGCCGCTGTGTAGCGCCGCCCCCGCTTCGGAGGTCCGCAGCGGCCGCGCGTCCCTTCGGTAGCCCCGAGCGCGGGGCCCGGGCGGGCCGCGGCGGAGCATGGCCAGGTACGGGGCGGGGAGGGGGCCCAGGCGGGGCAGGGTGCGTGGGGATACACGGGGGGGGGGGGGAAATCCGTCTGGGGGGGGGATATGGGGCCCACACCGGTCATGGGGGGGTTCTACCGGTCAGAGTGCTGGGGGGGGGGTGTCTCCACAGCCCCACGCCGGTCAGTGGTGGGAATGGGGGCGTCAGGGCTGTCAGTGAGGGGGAGGCCGCCAGGGTCCTGCATGGGCCAGTGCGTGAAGGGGGGGGCCCTGCACCAGTGTGGGGTAAGAGGCCGGTGGGTGCGGGGTGGGGGGGGATCAGGCCTGGCAGTGGAGGCCCACACTGGTCAGTGGGGAGCAATGGGGAGGGGAGGGGAGGGGATGGGGGAGCACCCACTGGTCCGTGCACGGGGGGGCAGATGGTCACTGGGGTTCCTATAAAGTCATTGTGTGCTTGGGGTCCCACACGGTCACCGTGTGCTGGGGGGTCCCACACGGTCACTGTGTGCTTGGGGTCCCACACGGTCACCGTGTGCTTGGGGGGTCCCACACGGTCACTTGTGCTGGGGTCCAACGTCACGTGTGCTGGGGGTCCCACACGGTCACCGTGTGCTTGGGGGTCCCACACGGTCACCGTGTGCTTGGGGGGTCCCACACGGTCACTCTGTGCTTGGGGTCCCAAACGGTCACTGTGTGCTTGGGGTCCCACATGGTCACTGTGTGCTTGGGGGTCCCACACGGTCACTGTGTGCTGGGGGGGTCCCACACGGTCACTCTGTGCTTGGGGTCTCATACAGTCACTGTGTGCTTGGGGGTCCCATACGGTCACTGTGTGCCTGGGGGGTCCCACATGGTCACTGTGTGCGTGTCGCGCTCAGGTTAGTGGGTGCCATGTGGCTCCCCCCCTCTGGCTGTGGGTGAGTGTTGGGGTGTGGAGCCGGCCCCATGGGGCAGGCAGGGCTGCGTGTCCCCAGCCTCACGCTCCCTCCCTCTGCCTGTGTGGCCGCACAGCCCAGGGTGCAGGTGTGCAGGCACTGGACACCCCGCTCCGCTGTGGGTGCCCGAGGTCCCGCTGGCACGGTGCTGGGTGATGTCCGGGTCTGCCTCCAGCCCCGGCACCACTGGGGATGGGCACAAACACGGGGCGGGGGGGGTGTCCAAATTCAGCCCCAGCCTCTGAAGCGCAGGGCTTGCAATGGGACCGGGGCATGGGGCATCCTTCGGAGTGTGCCCCATCCCTGGCAGTGCTCAAGGCCAGGTTGGACACAGGTGCTTGGAGCAAGCTGCTCCAGTGGAAGGGGTCCCTATTGCAGGGGTTGGAGCTGGAGGAGCTTTAAGGTCCCTTCCAACCCAAACCATGGAATCTGGGATTCTATGGTATTTCCATGCCACATGCCTCTGCCTCATGGCTGGGCGGGAGGCCTCCCCCCTCCACCCTTTCCTCCCCTTTCCTAGCCCTTGGGAAGCAGATGGAGTGAATTCCTGGGGCTGTGGGCTGGCTGACATTCCTCAGCTCCAGCCTGTGCCCAAACTTGCAGCAAATAGTTGCTTTTTTCCCCTCCTTTTCTCCCTTCTCCCCTTTTCCCTCTGGAGCTGGGTGCTCCTGCCTCACACCCGTGCTGCCACCCGGGGCTGTGTCCTTTGGACCATCAACTGCATGGCTGCTGTGGAGTGTGGGGTCTGCCCCCCTCGCCGTCCACATGGAGCTGTGTGGGCTTGAAGGCGGCTTCTTATGGGGGGGGTGTGCGTGGGTTCAGTGCGAGCGTGGGCGCTGTGAGCAGCGGCTCTGTGTGTGTGTGTGTGTGCTGGAGGGGGGCCCGCAGCCCGCTCCATGTGTTCATGGGAGCCGTGTGCTTGTCCCCATCCGCGGGTCAGGGGGTGCCCATTGCAGAGCCCTCACCCTGCCTTGTCCTGCCCGCAGGCCACCGCTGCTGCCCGTGGACACAGGCATGGCGCCTGCCGCAGCCCCAACCAGCGCCGTGGGGGGTCTGCAGGCAGCAGCCGAGCCCAGGGCCAGCTGAGGACCGGCCTCCCCGGGCCATCGTTGTTGCCGGGTTCTGTCCCGTTTGGATCCTCCGTCGCTCCGGGTCGCCGCCGCCGTCATGAACGGGCTGTCCATCAGCCAGCTCTGCTGCCTCTTCTGCTGCCCGCCCTGCCCCAGCCGCATCGCCGCCAAGCTGGCCTTCCTGCCGCCGGAGCCCACCTACGCCGTGGTGCCCGAGCCGGAGCCCGTGGGCAGCACCAGCACCGGCTCCCTGCGGAGCGGAGCCGCGGGCCGCTGGAAGCTGCACCTGAAGGACCGGGCGGATTTCCAGTACTCCCAGCGGGAGCTGGACAACATCGAGGTGTTCGTCACCAAAAGCAGCCGAGGGAACCGCGTCGGCTGCATGTACGTCCGCTGCGTGCCAGGAGCCAGGTGAGTTGCCTGTGGATGCACTGCCCAGTGCTGGTGCTGGGGATTGACCCTGGCTGGTGAAGTGCTGGTGGGCACGGTGCCATCTTGCCACTCCTCTCCTTCAGCTGGGTGCCACCTCCTTGCCCTGGCTTGACCCAGAGCCTCGCTGAAGGAGCTGGCCCTGCTGCAGGGGTTTGGAGGCATCCTGGGCCAGCTCAGCTCCCAGGACCGGTCTGGCTTGTGGCAGCTGGGAATGGGGTTAAACAGGGAGCAGAGGCAAAGCCAGAGGCTGTAGTGATGCTGGGGCTCCCTGGGCTGTCTCACAGGTTGCCCCCTGATGTCATGTCAGGGACACAGTCATGGGATGGTTTATGTTGAAAGGGAGCTTAAAGCTCATCCAGTTCTGACTTTCCACTGGAGGAGCTTGCTCCAAGCCCCTGTGTCCAACCTGGCCTTGAGCACTGCCAGGGATGGGGCAGCCACAGCTTCTCTGGGCACCCTGTGCCAGCGCCTCAGCACCCTCACAGGGAAGAGCTTCTGCCTAAGAGCTCAGCTCAGTCTCCCCTCGGGCAGGTTCAAGCCATTCCCCTTGGCCTGTCCCTACAGGCCCTTGTCCCAAGCCCCTCTCCAGCTTTCCTGCAGCCCCTTTAGGCACTGGAGCTGCTCTAAGGTCTCCCCTTCAGGAGCCTTCTCTTCTCCAGGCTGCCCCAGCCCAGCTCTCTCAGCCTGGCTCCAGAGCAGAGCTGCTCCAGCCCTTGCAGCATCTCCATGGCCTCCTCTGGCCTCGCTCCAGCAGCTCCACATCTTTTTTCTGTTCTTATAATGCTCCAGTTGTGAACTGAGCATCTGTGCCTCCCCTCTGTGAGTCTGTAAACTGGGAAGCTGGAGAGGGCTGTGGGATGGAGACCTCCTTCCATCTGCTGGTGGCACAGCTTGGGGTTCAGGTGCAGAGGGAGGCCAGGACCCCAAGCCTGCAGCACCCAGCTGAGCCCATGGCACTGGTATCCTCCCAGGAGCAATGCACCCTCCAAGGAACAGCATCTGCAGAGACCTCTGTGTGGGGGAACCCAGCCTGGATCTGCCCTCAGCTTGCCAAGGGCTCCAAAGCCCCTGGGTGGGCTTGGGGTGAGGGGGGGGTGGCTTTCGTGGGGCTTGGAAACCTGCGTTACAGGGGTTTGCTCTGCTTCCACATCCGCCTGCCCATGGCGAGGCTCAGCACTGGCCCCACTCCTAGCACAGGTTGCAGGGCTGGGATTGGGGATCCAGCCCTCCCAGACCCTCCAGGGGCATCAGTTCTCTCATTGTCCTGTCACCACCTTCCTGCTGGGGCATCCATGCTGGGACATGGGCCTCTCTGGCCAGCTGTGGGGGCTCGGCAGATCCCTGCAGACCTGCAGAACAGAGCCAAGCCTCCATCAATACACTATTAGTTGTAATTTTTAGGATGAACGTTGTTTTTCCTCTTATGGTGGATATTTCTTGTGCCTTGTCACTCCCACAATTCACTTCTCTCCCAGCGGCTGGTGTCTTGCCAGGCTCAGGAGAGGAGAAAAAAAATCACTGTCAGAATTCTTATTTGAAATCCCCATTGGGCAAACGGCCCCAAATCCTGAGCTTTTTACCAAAAATAGACTCCAAATCTTGAACAGAATCCTCCTGCCTTCAAGCTGCCTGTTCCTGCTGGGCCCCGGGTGGGGAGGAGGGTGGGGGTACCAATGGTTGGATTGGGGGTGTTCTGAGAACCTTCAGTGGTGGCCAGATTGGTGTCAGGGGTGTGTGGGGTTTGGGGTTCAATCTCTGAAGCAGATGTCCTGGCACATCTGTCCCTGAGCTGCTGGTGGGACCAGGCAGGGTCCATCGCTAACCCTCGCTGCGCTGCAGGTACACGGTGCTCTTCTCTCACGGCAACGCCGTGGACCTGGGGCAGATGAGCAGCTTCTACATCGGGCTGGGCACCCGCATCAACTGCAACATCTTCTCCTACGACTACTCGGGCTACGGCGTGAGCACGGGCAAGCCCTCGGAGAGGAACCTCTACTCCGACATCGATGCTGCGTGGCAGGCGCTGCGGACGCGGTGAGCAGGGCAGGGGAAGGGGCCGCCAGGAAAACCCTGGGCTCCACAGCCTGGAAAACAGGAAATCTCCCAGAAAAGGAACCCAGGCCGCTCGTCACGGGAAGGGGTGGCCGGAAAGCAGCTGCAGGGGAACCCAGAGGGGCAGGGATGCTGCTGCGGTGGGGCCGGCACAAGCTGTGCCTCCCATCGGGCTCTTCCCCTGGCTGTGCTCAGCCCTGGCTCCCCAGCCAGGCTCAAGGTGCAGCCCTCAGATTCTGCCTCCTCTGTCCTGCCTGTAACCATGCCTGGTTCTCAGCATGGCCCAGGCCATGGGGGCTGCCCATTGCAGGTGGGGTCCACAAACCCTGCTACTGGCAAGAGTGAGCTTTGACACCCCCCAGAACTCATCTGGCAGCTCAGCCCTGGCTGCTCCTTGGTCCTTCTGGGGGTGCAGGGCAGCTCCTTTGTGCACTGCTGTGAGGGGCTGGGGGAAGGCAGAGGGAACAGAGCCCCATTCCCCCACCCCAGGAAGCTTTGCAGGGTGCTGTGACCAGAGCAGGATGACACCCTGGGCTGTGTCTCCCAGTGATGTGACTCTGGTGCTTGGGTGCTAACCTGGTCCCTCCTCTCCCAGGTATGGGATCAGCCCGGAGAACATCATTTTATATGGCCAGAGCATCGGCACGGTGCCCACAGTGGATCTGGCATCCCGCTACGAGTGTGCTGCCATCGTGCTGCATTCACCACTCACCTCTGGCATGAGAGTCGCCTTCCCCGAGACCAAGAAGACCTACTGGTTTGATGCCTTCCCCAAGTGAGTGGCCTGAGGAGAAGGGACAGGGGTCAGTTCTGCAGGGGCAGTGTCCAGACCAGCTCTGTCCTGGACACCAGCCCTGGCCATGAACAGGGGTTATGGTGAAAACCATGGACCTGTCCCCTGTGGCAAGCTTGAACATACCCATTGGCATCCTCTTGCTTTGTGTTGGTCCCCTCTGGGGCATTGTAACCCTCCCTGGGGTCACCGTGCCCCAGCCTGAGGGCCATATGTTCCCCTGATGGTGTCCATCCTGTCCCAGTCTTTGCCTGCCTGCTTTGGGCCCCTTGTCAACTATCACAAGCCCCAGGGTTCCCTCTCTCCCCCAAGGGTAATTCCCTGGGCTTTGCCCCCTCTGCAGATGGCAGGGCAGTGGCAGGGAGAGGCAGCACTGAAGCAGGACAAGTTCATGCTTCACCTCTCCCTTACAGCGGGGCCCAAGGGACAGGCCCTGAGCCGGAAGCTGTGGCTGAGAGCCCCCAGCCCACGCTCCGCATCCCAGTGGCCTCGTGTGGCCTTTGGGGCCGTGCTGGGAACAGCTTCCACTCAAAGCCTGGCACGGCTGAGCTCGGAACAGGGAGGGTCTGTGCTCACACTGTCCTGCAGCGGCCTCCATCGCGTCCCATGGGGCTGTTGTCACTGCTGTCTGGCCCTTGTCTTTCACACTGGGGCAGATCTTGTCCTGGAGCTCCTCCTTGGCAGAAGCTCCATGTCCCAGTGCTCTGCTGGGATCAAAGAGCACTTCCTGGTCCCTCTCCCCCAGGGGATGTGTTTTGGGGGGTAAGGGGGGGAAAGAGGAATGGGAGTGCCTTGATCCCTGTACTTACCCCCCTCTCATCTCTTCCCCACCCACCCTTATGGCAGCATTGAGAAGATCTCCAAAATCACCTCTCCCGTCCTCATCATCCACGGCACGGAGGACGAAGTCATCGACTTCTCTCACGGCCTGGCCCTCTTTGAACGCTGCCCCAAGGCTGTGGAGCCGCTGTGGGTGGATGGGGCCGGGCACAATGACATTGAACTCTACAGCCAGTACCTCGAGCGCCTTCGGAAATTCATCTCCCAGGAGCTGGCCAGCCAACGCAACTAGCCATGGGGCAGGGGGGGGGCAGGCTCTCACTGTGCCTCCCCAGTCCCTGCTGCTGGAGGTGCAGTGAGTTTGTACAGCTTCAGCTCCAGGCTCCGGAGAGGGCAGGAGGCCCTGGAGTGGATGGTGCGTTCCCCCTTGGACATGAGCACAGCTCTGCTCCCTCCTGGTGGCACCAGTGGCCAGGCTGGCAAGAGACGGCAGCTCCCTCCTTCCCCCTTCCTGAGACAGATGAGAGCCCATCGGATGGCCTTTCCTTGGCTTTGGACACGTCCTCATCCCCTCTCCTAAACCAGCGAACTCCTGAATCCCTCCTGGCTGCTCTGCTGCTCTGACTATAGCAATAAGGCGAGTTGGAGAGGGCCGGGGGGTCCGGCCTCCTCCCCGGCATCGCTGCAGGGTGGGATGGAGGACGTGGCAGTTCCTGCTCTGGACTGAGCTTCCCCAGTGGTGGCACTGGGGTGCCTGGTGTTCACCCCGTGCCTGGGGCAGAGCCATATCCCCAAGGGAAGTTTGGGGTCACACAGAGGAGGTGCCCCCCTGTCCCACACCCCCTCCGGCCTGGCTCCGCTCTGCCTTTTCAGAGCACTCCCCATGTTCAGGTCACCCCTGGAAAACCTCCTCTGTACCCCTGGGAAACGGGGCGAGGGCACCAGGCACCGAATAAAGAGCAGAGGTTGAATGTTTTACACGTGTGTGCCCTTTCCCTGGGTATTCCTGAGCTGGCTTCCCTGGGCCCCAACCCCTCGGGCTCTGGCCCCTTGGCTTTCCCATGGGCTGATGCCTCTGCTGAGTTGCCCAATGGGGATGGGTGTGGGATGGAGCCCATTTTCTTCCCTCTTGTCTCTTTGAATCAAGCTGTGGGGATGATGGGGGCCCATTCCCCCATGATTTCATGTCCTGTTTGATTAAGGGATCCCATGGGATCCTGGGAGCAGAGGTTGCGGGTGGCCTCAGCCTCCTAGGGAGCTATGGCATGTGGACATCCCTGTGGCCTGCTGGTGTACAAGGGATGAAGGATGCTCCTGGGCTGCAGGGCTGCTCTGAGAGGAGCAGTCCTTGGTTTTGACCTGCTCTGTGCCCAGCTCTGCTCCAGTTGTGATTCCTGGTGCATGTGGGGGTATATCCCACTGTGTTTTGCCCCACAGAAGAGCAGAGTGCTGGGGTTTGGGGTTAGCACCTGCTTTGAAATCACTCCAGGAAGAGCTGTTCCAAGTGTCCAGGTGTTTTCCAGGATGTCCCTTGCCCCAACCCAAGGAGCAAAGCATCACTTCCCCTTCCCGCACGCACAGTGGCCCTCATGGGGCTCCCAGGCACCAGTTCCCCCTCCCTGGTGCAAGGCCATGGGGCTGGTGGCTCATGTGAGGAGTGGTAATCTCCTTAGCCAGCTCTTAGTGGGGGGGTCAGGGGCTTTGTAGTGGGGGGCTCAGAGCACTCAGATGCACCCATTGCTTGGGATTGGGAGCTGGGGGGGGTATGAGATGGGGAGCAGAGGGCCCCCACAACCTTCCCCTCCCCTTGGGACCGGGGCAGGGTGCTCCAGTGAAGAACTGGGGACCCTCCCTTGGTGCTGGGGCTCTGCATGAGCTAGAAGAGGATTTGGATGTCGGGGTCTTTGGTGGTCTCCCCCCTTCTCCAGGGGGTCAGGAGCTGGGATGCGATGCCTGGCTCCTCCCTGAGCATCCCCCCAGCCCTCCCCTCACTTCCCCTGCTTACCCCATGCAGCTGCCTTTCAGCTCACGTGTGCTGGGAGCCAAAGCCACCACGGTCACCCCGGCGGGCTCCCGGCTCAGCAGGGCTGGAGCAGCCCCCAGCACCCTAATCCCTGCACAGAGACAACAGAGTTTTGTTTGCACCAGGAGTATTTTTATCCTCTTACTGCTGCCTGCTTCCTGCCTTGCCAGCGGGAGGGCTCAGAGCTGGTGCTTGGGTTCAGGGGGTGCTGGGGTGCTTTGAGGTTGGGTTTGTGGTGTCTTGGTTTGTGAACAGAGGCGAAAGGACAGAAATGCTCAGCCTGATGCCTTGCAGTTACACCCAGCTCAGGTACATGGGAGCCCAGGGAGCCAGGGCTGTGATCCGTCATCCTTAGGGATCAGAGCTCTTAGGGTCTGGATCCTTTCCTGTTCCGGACCGAGGGGGCTCAGGCTCTGTCCTCACCCAGGCCTGAGCAGCTGGAGCGAGGAGGGAGAAGCACTAATCCACATGTGAGGTGCGGGGTCCCTGTAAAGCACGAGGACTTTTTGGGGTGCAGCATCCCCAGCAGTGCTCCCAAACTGGGCCATGAGCCACCAGGGTGGTGCTTGTGTCCCCACTGCTGGTGCAAGGCTCGGGAGCACCAGGAGGGGATGGGGAAGGAAAGGGGCTGGGGCTGGCCCTGGATGGGGTTTGGTGCCTGGGGGGGGACTGGGGAAGGCAGAATCCAGCCTCAGTGTCCCCAACGTCCCTCCAGCAGCCAGAGCAGGGACAAGGAGGTGGCAGCACAGGCAGCTCCTGCACCCATTACTGTGGCAGCAGGGACATGGCTGGGCTGGGGGCTGCATGTGTGTGCATGGATATCCATGTGGGGCTGTGGATAAGGGGACAACATCCTGGGCATCTCAGGAATCCCACAGTGGGAAGGCTGGGATCCCACTGCCGTGTGCCTTCAGCAGAGGCGCGGTGCCAGAGCAGCCAGGCCGAACATGGGGACGTGGAGCTCACCAGCTGACTGCCCAAGAGGGGTTTAAGTCTCTTTGGGGCATAAATGAGGCTTTTGATGGCCGGGGTCTGCGTGCCACAGTCATGAGACCCCATTCACAGGCCGAGCTCAGTCATGGGACCCAGCAAACTGCATTAAAGCATCTTAAGGAGCTTTTTTCCAAGCTCTGCTCTGGTTTTTCACGTGCTTGTCATATGAATGAGGACAGTATAAAAGGGCAGAGGGGAAGGATCCCATCAGTGGTCAGGCTGGGGAGAGCGGAGGGTGCTGGAGGAGGGACGCCAGGGTGAGGGGCTCTACATGGCACTGGCTAAGATGGAGGGAAGGGGACAAGGAACGACAAGGAGAGGAGAGGATGCGCTGGCAGCAGGTGCGTGAAGCAGTGACCTAGGGCTGGTGGGGGGACACTGGGGACAGCTCTGGGGGAGCAGGGTCCGTCTGCGCTGGAGCATCCCTGCTCTTCCCTGGTGAGAGGCAGTGAGTGTGGAGCTGTGATGTGGGGAGGTAGGAGCGCAGTGGGGCACCCAGCACCCTGCACTGGGGTTGGGGGGGGATAGTGGTGGTGGGTGCCCAGTGGTCCCTGTGCTGGGGGTGGAGCTTGGAGCTGGGAGTGGGTCACAGTGGGATGGACCCATCCAGCTTGGGCTGTGCACATACATGTGTGCACATACGTGTGTGCCTGCAGACGTGCACACACCACTTGCACACGGACACACGAGCACACACATGCAGGCTTGCACACACATCCACACACGTGCACATACACACACACGCGTGTGGATGTGCCTGCATGCGTGTGCACCACCCTGCTGCTCTTTTGGCTCCGCACTCCTCACCCCCCTAGCAGGGGTTTCCATGTGTAACCCCCCCCGGGAAGCCAGCGCTGCCCCTGTGTGTGTCCCACTCGCACCCCACATGTCCCAACCCATCACCAGGACAGGAGAAGCAGCATCAGGGCTGCAGGGGAGCTCCATGGGCTGCAGATGTGGGGCTGGCCGGGTACCCCCAGCTCCTTTCATCCCCTCTGTCTCTCCTCTGCAGGAGCACTCGGCGGGAGCAGTGCGGGGCCGTCCCCTGCCCCTGTGAGCTTCCCTTTGTCATCCTATGCCTGAGCGATGCCTGGAGGCTGGGACGGTGAAGGGAGGCCCACGGGTGCCACAGCCCTGCGGTGACAACGCTTGGACAGGACATGCGGGACCATGCTTATGGGGCAGGGGGATGAGTTCTAGTGGGGCTGGAGCACCCTGGGGGGCTGGAGCATCCACTTGGAGGGGCACAGCATCCCCTTTGGGTGCACACAGCATCCCCTTGAGGCAACACCCACAACACCCCCACAAAGCATCCCCTTGAGGCACACCCACAACACCCCCACAAACACCCCACACACCCGGCTGGAGCATCCCCTTGGAGGGGCAGAGCATCCCCTTTGGGTGCACAAAGCATCCCCTTGAGGGGCTGGAGCATCCCCTTGGAGGGGCAGAGCATCCCCTTTGGGTGCACAAAGCATCCCCTTGAGGGGCTGGAGCATCCTTCCCAGGCTGGGTGATACCCAGGGGGTAGAGACTGGGCAGTGTGGGATGCAGCAACCACGCCATTGCCCAGGGATATGGATGGGGAAGTGGGGTGTCATGGAGCACCCCTGGCAATGGAGGGGCTGGGGAGGAAGCAGGATGCTGCAGCAGGGCCAGGAAGCACTCCCATATGGGCCATGGCAGGATACATGAGGATCATGTACCAGGATGGGATACCAGGAGCACTGGGACAGGCCCATCCCTGTGAAGAGACAACCTGGCATGAGGACATCGGAGCAGCTCTGAGGAAGACAATGGGAAAATTCCCACATGGATGCAGACAAAATCTGAACCCCCCCACTGAGGGGAGCAGAAACGGGCCCTGGGAGGTGCTTTTATAGAGTGATGTAAAACAAGCAAGGAGGGAGGCTGCTGCTACATGAGCATCTCCATCTGGTTTCCTCTTTTTTGGCTCTTTTCCCCCCAGAACTCAACCCAATTCACCCTGTTACAGGTTTATCACAGAGTGGGGATCATGGGGGGGAGGCAGGGACCCACTTTGCCTGTAGCTGGGCCTGGGCTGAGCGGTGGGGATAAGGTTTTGGGGCCTCCATAGAGGCCTGGGTGCCCAAGGGCTGGATCCATCCTCCTGCTCTGAGGCGCAAGCCAGGAGCATCCCCTGTGGCAGCTCTGGAGCCGTGTTTCTGGGCTGCATCCTCTGTTCAGTCCCAGTGTGCTGGGGAAGCCCATCACAGTGTGAGGGCCCCACAAAGGGGCTGTGGTGGTGGTGGGTGCAGCCCTGATGTAGGGACTGACTCACCCCAGCCTGGAGAGGGGCATCCACCAGCACAGGCCTCATTCCTGAGGGGTGCCCACATCCACTGTGCTGTCCTTTTTCCCACGTGAGGACCTGTGACAACCCTGCCCGAGGTTGTTCCCCTCCTTAAACCTCTCCTGTCTCCTTAAACTGGGGCATTTGGCTGTTGGATGTGAGCCATGCTGGGGAGCAGAACATCAGTCACAGCTCAGATCCACCCGGATCCCTACCTGCTGTGTGCAGGGACCCTCATGACCACTTCCAGTGCTGCTAACTGGGAGCTGGGTGCCCATCCCAGTTACCGTAGCTGCCCTTCCCACATGGGGAAGTGAAAGCCTGAACCCATTGCAGGCAGTTTTCCCATGTGGGGTCCTCTAGGTCTGGACAGAAAAGAATGGTTTATATTAATGTTATTTTGGTTTATTTTGCCAGCTTGGGATTTGAGTGAATGCAGGGTGAGAACTACAAGGAAGGGAAATGCTGTTATTCAGTGTGTGCCTGTGCACAGTCCTCTCCCTACAGATAAAATGATGTAAAATAGATTTATTTACATCACAGAAATAAAAGTGATTTCTTTTCTTTTGGGGGGGGAACCAGCTTCTTGCTTTTGCAGCCCTTGAGGGAGGTAGGAGTGTGTGTAGGGATGCTCAGTGCAAGCCCTCC